ATGAAAAATCGATCTGAACAGATCAGTATATGTGTCAGGATGTATGTACAGAAGCAAGATTCCATATCTTCATACAGACATTTAACGAAACTGAGGATGAATGTATAACAACATTCATACTTGCCACATTTTGTATTTGACCGTCATAATGTGTTCTCACGATCATTCTTTACTGTGATTTTTAAATTCTTACTCGGTTGAGAAAGGAGAAACATACAGTTTGAGACACGAATCTATAGTTAAATATCCAATTATTCTGAGCAGATTTTCGGGAAAACCTACACTTTTTCCTTTATACACCGTATACGCATTCATTCTGTTTTGAAGAATGTGCGCTTTTTCTAGTTTGAAGATTTAAATTTAAGAGTATGATTTCTTTTCGTGCAAGCCTTGACAAGAATGTTGATCTCATTCTTTACAGAGTTATTTCCGCTAATATCTTGGTCTCTCATTTTGTTTGTTCAGATGAACAAAAGTTTACCACGTAGACTTTCACAATCTCCAGGGGGAAGGGACTAAGTAAGGACACCTCTCTCCTTCCTCCCACTGATCGAAAGCTCTGCAAACGATGAGAGGCTTTAGATGTGATTAGTCGATGTTGTCCTTCAAATAGAACATCTGTAGACGCTAAACTAGTTAACTTTGTTGCCTCTAATTGCGATATTTCACTGGAATAACCCTAGATGGAAGATAGTTCAAAAACGGCTCAATAATGTTTCAGGTGATGGTGGTTGAATTAATAAAAGAAGAAATACACTATTACAGTGTCCGATTAACAACTACAATCTGTGACGAGAGAAGTCCACTGTTAATTCTCGCCTACCCGGTTATAACAGTATAAGTCTCATCGTGATCAGTCACAACTTTTCAATCTGTTCAATAATTGATTATTTTCAGTCAAGTGTTTTTTCAAATGATTAAGTGAATCCAGGGTCGTCTATCCTAACCTAGGTGTTTGAGACACAACGCCCCACCTGTCATTTTGTACCACGTATAAACGTTGTTTTGGGTAGTACAAAACTATTTTGTCAGTCTACTATATATGTTGTACTTGTGACTGTGTAGTGGTTATTGGTAAGTTGCGGTTTCTATAATCAATAAAAGAATCAGTAACAGTAAATGTTAATTTCTTAAGAAGAGACGCTTAACTGTAATGAAAATAAATAAAGAATTATGGATTTATCAAGCAAGTTATACTCCTTTCACGTCTTAGCAAATATCAATCGCTTCAAACAGAATGGAAAAAGGAAAAGTCCAGTTTGATTCACTTATGTTCAAACAATTTTTGTTAGTTGACTGTATTTCTGCCAAACTTAAAGCGCTTTTTATTTTTATATGGTTGGATAGAGCATTTCTATCGAACTGTATATTTTATATCTGATTTATTCCACATCGTGGCCGAGAATTTAGTGAAATCCTAAAAGTCTTCAAAAAACTTTTTCACAGTAAAATTTAGCTGTAAGGAGGAATATTTAACTAAAACTAAGTCCAATTGGCACGCAAATGGTTTCAGATTGAAGATTCACCAAAACCATGTTTGTACAAAGTATAGAATGAAACCGTTGTATATTCGAAGAGAAAGTTTGATTTAAGCTTTTAAATTTTAAATCATTTGGCATTTTCGTGACAGAAATGAAAAAACAGGTTTTAGGGCTATTCGCATAATGTAGAATTTATGTAAAAGCTCTCAGCTAAACCTGAAATCAGATAATTCGCTAGAGAAATGAATACTCTATCCAGTCAGAAAAAGATTTATTACTGAGTGCTCTTTAATGCTACTTGATTTTAATAATCATAATAAACGTTGTTAACTTAGTTAGCGAGTATTCAGCATTATCGAGCTCATACGAAAATAATCCATAAACCCACTGAAAAGCATAGTAACGTCGATCCATTGAGTAAATCATTGAAGTATAAATACTATCTCTGGCATCTTTTAAACGTGTAATTATAACTCTCAAGTTGTATCGAGGTAAAATATATTTACGACATTCTTGCAGTATTAGTAGATCACAATAAACATTTGAAATAAAGAAATACTTTATTTTATGACGATAAGCATTAGAAATATCACAATAAAATTCTTAATCATCAGAGTATTTTATTTCGACAGAGCTCAATGAGTTTATTCTACCTTGATAATTCTGATAATCATGGCGATATATCCTCGACCATCTAAAATTATCGCCTCTAATCGGGATATTTTACTGAATAAAACCTCACGAAGTCTTTTTAACACTAAATGTCCTTTCGAAAAGGTTTATTGCCCAAAATTCATCTATCAAAGAGTAACTGATATTTCGATCTTTTTACGGTATGCTTTAGTTTCGAAAATAAAGTTTTAAAGTTTAAAAACAATGTGCTTTTACATGGTTTTGAGAACTGTGTAAGTTGGATAACACAGCAAACAATTTTTAGACTAAACTAAAACAGATTTTTTCTATAATTTGGTACAACTGCTTATTGATAATGCTATGCTTATTTATAATATATTATAAAATTTTGGAAAAGTTAGCTCTGAAAATTATATTTTAAATCTTTTTAGAAAAATTTAAAAGTGTTATAAAACATCTTTCGCTCATTAAATTATTAAAATAAAACATTTTTGATAATGTATGAATGTTAAGGTATAAAACTATGATTGGGAAAAAAAATAATGTTTTCTATAAGTTGCTTAAAATTAAAACTAAAATTCTCAATAATTAAAAGATCAAAATTATTGTAAAATAAATAATTCAAAATAACCTTCAAGAACTATTAAGATTTGAGCGCAGCAAAAATGCACATTTAGGTAACTGAAGTGGTACATTCAAAGGCCGTATGCACACTAACAATGAGCCATCTGTAGTCAAGAAGCTCATGTTCTCTTACTTATCGGACGAAAAAAGACCTCGTAACATCGGCATCTGAAAAAGATGGAAAGACAGAATTCAGAGTGATATTGCAACGTCTAACTGGAGAAGACAGACTTTGGAGAAGAATAATTAGAGAGAGATCATTAACAGAAATGCGCAGACTCATCCAGTACACAGTGATATCAACGACAATGTATACGAGTATAAAAAACATGCAAGTAAAAGAAGAAAGAAAGAATTGTCAACAGCAGCAGGAGTGGTGATTCAGCGTAAAGTTACAGAAGTGTTAACGAAAATGGTAAATAATCAGTACAAATGCTCTGGTTGTGGTGAACAGTTCATACCACAAGGAATGACAAATCATGTGAGAGCTTGTTCAAAAGCAAGGAGTTGATAACAACAGAATACTTTCAACGGAACAAAACCAAGGTGATATATAAAATAAAGTACGAAATATGGTCTAAGAATCGTCTGAAGTATTTCATGAGTTTGAAAATGTATTTAATGTTGACCATAGACCGGTATACATGTCTAGCTGAATACAATGGCGTCTAGGAAACAAAAAGAAAAAAAGATTGTGTTGGTCGTTGATTCTACGAAAGACAACAGTTTAACATTGAGGCCCCCTTTCTTATTCAAAAATTCAGTCCTCTGAATTTCTCTTGCTCATGTTCTCTCATTTCGTCTAGAAGAAAACAAAATTTTAATTTTTTCTAGGAAAGTTTTAAATTGTCCCGCATTTTAATTTCTCCTGCAACATATGGATGGAATATTGAAATATTCTCTTCTAACTCAATAAAAGATGAGTCATCTAATCATATGTGACTCAATTTTAACAAGCACATCATATACAAACCATTATATCTCCCTTCATCGGTGTGGGCGCTCATTCAATTCATCGGATGCCTCTCCCTCTTAAAGACTGATAGAGTAAAACCATGCTTTTTTGAATGACCCTTGATCCTGCGTCTCCGTTACAGTTCTGCTGGCATCCTGCGCCACCGTTTCAATAATAAAAAATAAGAAAGATATCGTCCAAAACCATTTCTACTGTTAAATTAATCAATCAACCTTTATCTGTGATATATTACTACTGTTGAAAAACAAAAAAATAACTTTTTTAAACGCTTCGAATTAAAAAACAGACAACTCTTTTAAAAATAAATGATCATAACGGTCATTTTAAACCGACTCATAAGCTCCTTTCTAGCAGATAAAAATAACATAAGCATTTTAGGTACAATATTTTTCAAAAATAAACTTTCTTTCTCATGGAGAAAAAAAATGCATGCTGAAAAAATGAAGAGGACACGAATGTGTTTTGGTCACGATGCCAATATTCCAGCAGATGAAACACGACCAGTAAGACCAATAGATGATATATATTGAGACTTAATATTATTTGATATATTATAAGAGCGCTAATAATGGTGCTAATGATTTATTAACTGCCTGATCTAATTTATCATATACAACTTCACTGCATTTACAATGAATGCCACCAAAACACAATAATATTACGATTAGTACTGATAGCATTTTGTGTGTACTATCTATATCACAGATATATTCATTAACTGTACGTTTTTCTCAGATTTCTGTTATGTACCCATTTCAAAATAAAAGACACGATAACAAAACGTTGCTATTAGCATGATTTTTTATGTTGAAATTATTGCCCATTAACCATAATAATTTATCTACCTATTTGCATACTTGATCGTCCTAAGGACAAAAGCATTCATTATGCGAGAAATTCTGTACCATGTAAACAAAGCGTGTTGTCTAGCGAAGCCAACTTCTTTTGAGTAAATTATTCTATTTGACACACATGGGTAATAAACTATATATTAGATGCTTTAGACTGTATAAGACGTTATTACATATTTTACTTTGACCAGTATTGTCAAACATACATGCATCGTTCTGCAAGTATAATACTTCTGTTTGCATTATTTGCTACTAATGTAAATGGTGATATACTTGAGCAATTCATTAGACGACTACTGTTAGAACGAGAAGGCCGACAAAGTTGTGGTTGCACGGGTAGTAATTGTTGTTCAAAATGGGGTTATTGTGGAACTGGTTCTGATTTCTGTGGCGCAGGATGCCAGCAGAACTGTAACGGAGACGCAGGATCAAGCGATGGCGGTTCAAGGCGAAGGTAGTCTAAATGGTCAATACCAAGGGCAAGCTACCTGTTATAATATTGGAGGCGCTTACACAGCCTGTGGCACATTGCAAAATGATAATCAGTTCCTTGTTTCTTTGAATGCTCCTCAGTTTGATTCCTATACACCTAATGGTAATCCAAACAGAAATTCATTGTATGGTAAAACAGTAAGAATAAATGGACCAAACGGATCAGTTACCGCAGTGGTTATGGATAGACGCCTCAGTTGTCCGTATGGTGATTTAGATTTAACACCAGCTGTTTTCAAGCTATAGCCGACCTTAGCCAAGAACGTGTTAGTATAAGTTGGTCTTGGTCATAGCGATAAAGATGATTCATTTCCTATGGATTTTACTTTTTCTTTTTTTTCCAGCTCACTTTATGTCTCACTTGTTTTATTCTAAATAAGTCGAATGAAATAAATGCTGGAGGAATAAATTCAACTAGTAGTAGAAATCCCTTTTTGAAGAACATACGGAATACTGCAAGTATAAAAGTGTTCTTGACTAAATTGATTCCTCCTTATAGAGAGATAGCGTAGGTCACGATGCATGTATCTTTCAACGAAGGGTAACTACTACCAACTTGAAGCTCGTTTCAATTGGGTACAACTAGTTGCTATCGATTAATCGGGCAATTCATTGCTCGATTAATTGGTCCATGGAGTGGCCGTTTCAGCTAGTACACAATTTCAGTCAGCATGCAGCTAGATAAATGTACCTTTTAATCTAGTTAATCTAGCTGTAAGTGGGCGCTGCAGCTAGATTTTCTCGCTTACTTAGTTTTGCTTGGGCGGACGCTTTTAAACTATGCTTTAACCAAGTTACCCCTTATCTACATTTCAGCACAGTTTGTCATCTTACAGACCAATATGTTTGTCATTCGACCTTTGTGTGATAACGTCTCTCATGTTAGCAGCACGAACAAAGGAACTATGACATATTTGATTCGAAACGCTATTTCCATTTTCACAAAAGGTTTACCATACATACCAAAGATTGTACCGTAGAGGTTAATTTTTGCTTTCCCTTATCATTGATGTTTGAACACCATCAATGATAAGGGAAAATATAATGTCTATCGGCACACCTTCTAGAAATAAGAGGTTGTATTTTTTTACTGAGCGTCAAAAACGAATGACACCCAGAAGGTGGTTCTAGTTCAAGCAGTGTATTTGATCAAGGAGTATTTAACTGCATATTTGGTGGCTATCTGAGTTCAGCAAGATTATCAAGTCTTTGGAATGCTTTATTGGCTGCTGCTAAACAGTTGGGTTGGACACCAGCAAACACCGTAGAATTTGTGGCATTTCTTGCACATGTTGCGCATGAAACAAATTATTTACAAGTATACAGAGAAAATTGTCAACAATATAGCGCATGTAATAATTATCAAACATCATGGTGTTCTGTTCAAGCCACACCAGGCCAACAATATTATGGCCGAGGATGGTTACAGTTATCATATCCATGTAATTATAATAATGCTGGAACAGCATTAGGGTTACCTCTATTAAATAATCCTGATCTTGTTGCTCAATCGGATGAAACAGCTAGTGCAACAGGTATTTGGTATTGGACAGCAAATGGAGTTAATGTACCAGCGTCCAAAGGGAATTTTGGTGCAACGACAAATATAATAAATCCTTACGAATGTACTGGACATCCCGGTCAGGCTATGCAGTCATCGAGAGTACAAACATATCAAGCTGCGATGAATTGTGCTGGTTTATCAACGCAAGGAGCTAATTTATACTGTTAAATGATATACTCTCAAGACAGACTTTCGTAAAGCGATTCAAGGAAAATACTTTCAGGAATACGGTAATTAATCTAGCAGGTGCTTTTTATTTTATTCTTTTTTTACTTATTTAAGTTTATGTTCACAACATTAAAATTCTAACTTTCGCTTGTAATTCGTTTTTGGTAAAGAATGTGCAAGAAGTTAAGAACAGCTCGATAGCACATCACATTTTTGTGAGAGTGCAGGATGATTTTTTATTTGTTTCGTGAAGAGAAAAATGTTTTATCGTCTTTCGCAATGCTTACCTTTTGGCTGTATGTTTATAGTTGATGCAGATAATATCTAAATAATATCTAAATAATAATCTAAACAGAATAATAGAGAAAATATGAGCTTCTCTTAAACCATCTTGCAGTAATGGAAAGAATTGTATTTAAGTATTTATGTGAGTATCTAATGAAAAATAATTTAACCACTGTTCGTCAGACTGATTCCATCAAAGAAGATTCCTGCGTAAACCAGTTAGTGACTCTTCTCCATTATATTTATGAGGAAATAGAGGAATCTAAATTTTGTGAGAGGAGTTTTTCTGGGCTTGTCGCGAGCATTAGTGATCGTGTGTTGATTACAAACTAAAATAAAAAGATATGAGTGAACAATTGGGTAAATGGATAGAAAACTTACTAAGTATGAAGCTCAGATTTTTTTAAATGCGCTCTATCGAAGACTTTTATATTAGCTCCACACTAGTGATTGAAGACAAATATGTTCACAAAGTCTCCTAACATCATTAACAAATCATTTCCTATCTCTCTCTTTATGTTAAACGACTTACACTCAGTCTTGGACAGAGAATAGTAACGGTTTCGAATGATATATGTAAAATATTTTGTTTTAAAATAAAACTTGGAATATCCCCTTTTCAATAAGAATAAAAGTCCAATTTATTCATGAAGTGGCCGAGTTATATAAGCATTTTTTAACTTCTGGGAGATTCGGTGATCGGTCAGGTTTTCTTACTCGTTTAACTGAATGCTCTCGCTGAAGCATGGGGCAATGCTCTCGCTGAAGCATGGGGCAATGCTCTCGCTGAAGCATGGGGCAATGCTTCAGCACGAGCATCTCAATCTGCCGTTAAGCAATTTCTACTTATTAAGTCTTTTTCTGTTCCATGACCTGTTTCATAATTAATAATGCAAAACAGGAGAACGCATAATTTTCGTAACAGTTGTTTTTCTTTGTAAAAATGAAACTGGATCAGTTGCAATATGTTTTTGTGTCTTGTATTTTCTGATAACCTCGTACATCGAACTATTCACAAAATATTTTTGTTTCAAAGAAGAAATTAATGTTATTATCAATGGAACACAAAGTCGTCCAATACTAGTCAGTCCATTATATGCTGGAAGAGCATATAAAGTAGTCTTGTTATGCTCAATCCCATTAGAAACAATCGATAAGTCTGTTGAAGCCTGTGAATTACTTAATTTATCAAATGAAACTTATATTGCAATAACCGCATCGGACAGTTCAAAGGATAGAAGTAATGAATATTACAGGCTCATAGTATAATCTATTTCTTTTTAGAATATAATTCTACATTGATACAATCCTTCTTAACAACCAGCATAGTCGTTTTAGGAATGGTATTTATTTATCAGTGTGTATTTTATTTCTTTAAATCACCATGATTATTCTGTATTTTTTATAATTTTAGAATGTTGTTGATGTACACCACTATTCTGGATGATTTTAATGTTCATACAAATGTGGGTATCGATGTCATATAAATAGAAATTATGTTAAAATTACAAACTTCGATTTGTGTGTGCTCATTTCTTGAATAACTGCGTCACCTTGATAGATAGCGACCTGCAGTTTTCAGTTTTGAAAACGAGACATCTGATCACATACTTCTGTAAGCAAAAGAGAGTTTCGGAAAAATTTTTAAAGCGGGTTTTTCAGAAGATCTTTGAAAAACTAGCTTGGTTTTGCCGAAATTCACATAGGAATATATTGATTATTTTCCATGGGTTCATAGTCCGAGACGTTCTCTTCAAAATGGGAGTAAAGTGAGTCCTTGATTTTCTGCGTTTCGGGCGTTGTATTTAAATAAACATGATGCAGTTTAACCTTTTATTTTCGGTATTTAAGTAATTATCGGTAGCAGTTTTACGTATAAGATCATAACGTGATGAATTAGAAGAACATACAGAAATATTAGTGTTGGTTGAAACTGCTAATGAAATACTAGAAGAACCTTGCGTTGTAGAAGAATCAGGGTCAAAACAAGAAGTGATTGGCTGGGAAGCTACAACATCTATTGCTGACCATGAAAGAAAACTAGGAGAGGTAAATTCATCTAAAATACTTATTGCGGATTGTGTATTAGGTTCAGATACAGCTGAAGGAGCAAAGTCGGTATTAGAACATTTTGAAAGCGAATCAACATCTTGAAGACAATCGAGTAAATTATTTCTATTGGAATCATATAGGCTGTATACTGTATCATCTGATATGAGTCGTTGAATGTAATGGTGTTTTACATGTAAAATCACATAATTGACATTTAGCTGTTTCGCCGTCGTCGGTTTTCGTAGCATAACGCCAGACATCTGATTTTCGTCGACGACCAACTGGATTCTCATCGACTGTTATTGTTGATGCTGAAGTGCTGTTGTTAGCAGGTGTTGTTGTTGGATCCGTATTTGGAGAAGACGTTGATGGTGCATCATTTGTTGGTGGCGTTGGACTCTCATTCTCTTTATCACTGTCGTAGCCGTCACCACCAAGAATTTGAGCTGATCTGTATCGATTTTTTCGCAGGCGTTTAACTTTTTGTCTTGCCATTGATGAAAATAGTATATCCAAAAGTATAGAAAATCAAAACGCAGATAAAAATTTGAATAGAACGCAACATGTATAAAGCTATTTGCATAGAAAAAAGTAGGAGGAAAAAAAACATCATCGTAATCTGGACGAATAAAATGTTTTTGTATCTAAGTTCTTTAAAATCAAAATTCTCTCAAAATTACTGAAAATCTGTAGGCTTCCGTTAGGAAACAGTTGCAGAGAAGCAACTTTAAATAAACCTGAGAAAACATATGCGAGACAAGTTTCAACAAACTTCCTGTGAACCATCGAGCCATGGTATTATGAAGCGCACAACATCTCGAAATTCAGTTTTAGACCAGTGATGCAAATTTTCTTTCATCTCTTTAAATTACGAAAGAAGACACAGAAATGTTTAGTTCTTTTGAACAACTTTCGAGCAGAGTTCTACCAGTCCGGTCTCACGACCGATATCCCGTTTGGGATATAGGGTATATCCCGAACGGGATATCACAGAAAATTTATATCCTGATTGGGATATTTTTGCAAAACATTTTGGAAAAAATCGTGACGTTATTGCACAAAAGTGAATATAGCATAAGAAAGCGGATGAAAAACTGAGTCGGAATCAAAGGTGCTCTAGTCTTGGTTTAAGTGTCTACCGTTCACGATTTTTTAAATTCCAATGGGAATATACAAAATAGCCTGATCAGGATATTATCTCATTCGGTATATATGCATAAATAGTTTCCGGTATGATGCTGACGATTCGGCGCCATTTTCTTTTTAAATAAAGTATGAAAGTTTAAAGTATTGGATATCGGTGTGCGTGAAATGTATAAGTTATATACGCTTAATGTCTCTTTTTCTATACTTAAACGAGGCCTCGATAGTCAGCGTCTTGTTTTTCATTTTTTAAAAACAAAATCAGACGTCAATCTGTATCACTCTATCGCTTTTAGTTCAGAGAACGCAAGGAAAGATAATAACATAGACACAAATACAGAAAAAAGATGAGAAATAAAGAATATACTTCGCATTATGTGTAGTCAGTATCGTTGCTTAACTTCTTGGCTATGATTATTTCAGCGTAGGATTTTTACAAGTGAAAATACTCTGTAACCTTGCTATGGATAAACCTGGTTTTCTTCAAAGATGAACTCCCACTCCCACATCCAAAAACAAAAACACCGTGTCTTGATGTGCCTTCAGTATACCATATCCCGTTCGGGATATAAAAATATATCCTGATCGGGCTATATCCCGAAGAGGATATATATTATAGCCCGAACGGGATATATATCCTGATCAGGATATATATCCTCATCGGGATATATATCCCGTTCGGGCTATGAGACCAGACTGTCTACTTGAAATACTATAAAAAAACAAAACCTAAACGTTTGAGCTGCTCTCAAGGTGTGCGAAAAACTTGACAGCATACTGGGTACTGCTGAAAGAACATGTTAAAGGTCGTGCAGAGCTGAGGGTGTTTCATTTTATTCAGAACATGTAAATGTTTGAGTCGAAATCTAGTGAATTATAGGTAGTCGAGTATGCTGATTCCGAATATCGAGATGAGCCTTTCCGCTAGGCCTCCAAAGATCCGGTCTTCTAGAAAACCAGTTTTTCAGAAACTCCAAAAATAACCCAAACCTTTCTTAACAATACAGGATTTTAGCGCACACATTTCTGATTAAAATGAGACATCCCCCAGCTCTACACGACCTTTCTTTGTAAAGTTATAGAATCTATAAGAAAAACCCTAAATTGTTCATTGCCTGTTCAAAGCTACAGAAATAAGAAGAAAAAAATTAATTTAGGACACTTCTTATATAAGGGATGTTTCATCTTAATCAGAAATTTGCGCGCTACAGTCCTGCATTGTTAAGGAACGTTTGGGTTATTTTTTGGAGTTTCTGAAAAACTGGTTTTGCAGAAGATCGGATCTTTGGAGGCCTAGCAGGAATGCTCATATCGATATTCAGAATCAGCATAGTCGACTACGTATAATCCACTAGATTTCGACTCAAAAGCGATTTATCAGTTAGAGACCTTCCCTCGTTAGTTTTAACTGTTTTCAGTTACCGAAACTGTCACAAAAAAAGCCTATCTTTTAACCTAGCTTTACCAAGAAGTAAGCGTCAAAATTACAAAAAAAACACAAGTCATCGCGCAGACAGCGTTGAAAATCTTCCTCTTGGAAAGAATACAATTAGAAACCATCCAGAAAAACTTAAAACAAAAAAATCTCATTCCCTAGATTTTTGAAAGATTCATTTTTGTAGAGAATTGGACATTCGTGAGATGTCGAAGATTATCCTGGAAAAACGTTAAAGTAGGAGAATGTCGAATTTTTTCAAAATTTAATGTTTGTTTACTACCTTGAAAACGATATCATTGAGTTTAGCAAATTCTTTTGTCTTCAACTAAAATTGCAACAGTTCTGGCACACTCTCAATTCCGAACAAAACTGTGCGGCTACGCAAAGTACCTTTTAGTTTCGAAAGACAACAACTGCAGTATAAAAAGTGAAGTTTTTCAGATACGTAGAATCGTTGTTTTGATTACATATTAGAATCACAGCCAAAACAACGCTAAGCTGCAGAATACATAGATGTGATGCAAAAGAAAAGATACACTTAGATACGACAGACAAATATGAATGTGCTTGAATAGACTAGTGAAAAGGCACGAAGGAGAGATATCTCTACGATATCACATATGTGCTTTTTCATTAGTCGTATCCGAGCACATTCAAATTTGTGTGTCGTATCCAGGCGTGCAACGTAGGTTACCGTACCTTACCGATTTAACGTCCAACTCAAATCAAACACACTTCATGAATATAAGTGTGATTATGTAGAAATTGTATTTCATTTCTTAAGAAATGAAAACACTATTGAAATCTACTCTACTGACTCTTTCAGCTGATAAAATATGAGGAGAAAAGCATTGACTTTGATCGTCCTTTGGAAGGTTACACTGTGAAAGTCTTTAACTTTTCCACATTTGTAAGAAGACGAAAGCTTTGAGACTCTTACAGTAGTTCCTTTTATAAAATTTAGATTAAAACTGACTGAGTTATGAAGAATAAATTGAACATATACGTGTTGAATCTCTATAGACATTGCCAAGAATCGAACAGAAAGATATCTTTTAGATATACCGTGCATATCTGAGAAGAGGCGTTTTATTTGCTAGTTCTCTGATATAAAGAAAAGAAAAAAAGAGAAAGGATCAATAAAGAACCTTAGCTGAGAGCATGAGTTTATTCTCAGTACAAACTCACTCTCTCTATTCTGATTTTGCTTTCGATCGCTAGCAAGCGTTAGAAACTTTATTGCTTTTATCGGTAAGAAGCGATAATTGGTAAGATATAATAAAACCGATAACGATAAACGGATAAATTATCGTTACCGTTGCATGCCTAATATCAGCCACTGGTGTTGGTAAATCATCCTCGTCATCAATGTTATTGTGGTCAAGAATTTTCCAAAATTCAGAATCCGAGCGAGGTGGCTGACCAAACATGACTTCATATGGCGTTTTCTTTGTGACGCACGAAACTCTTGTGTTAATTCCATAGGCCACAGGTAAAAGACCTTCTGACTAGTGAATGGAGTTGTTTGTTGTCAACCATTTTCCAAGAGCATCACAAAGTACACCATTTGCTCCCTTCGACACAATCTTGACTTTGAGGATGGCGAGGACGTTCTCGTTATTGATCTGAAGAGTACATGTTGTTTGATTGGTTTTCTAACTTGGCAAGGTGTAAAATGTTTTAAAAAAATTTCAAATGCTAGACGAGGAACCCATGAATAATGAGAATTCACTTACCAAGAGTTTTATCGCGACCATCATGAGAAACCGAGCCATGACATTCGCTTATTACATTGAAAGATTCATAAATACAGACAGGTTTTTTTGTTTTGACATAGCATGCAATATCAATACCTACTATTTTCAACAATAAAAAATTGTTTCGCCCAAAAAATAAATTCTGGAGAAAGGGAACCAGATACCTTACCTTCTTGTAACAATAATGCTTGCACAATATCCTCACAAACTTTCTTCTTTATTACACTTTTTTCTCGACATTTAACACTTAATGAATCTATATATTTATCAAGATCGCTATAAAAGAGTTTTTTGCTATCATTAGGTTAGACAGTTGTTGTTGTCGTATTACACGCTGTCATTTTTTTATATAGAACAAGTAACATGATCCTAATCGGTTCGCACATTCTATTTATACTATTAGTAGACAATGCTCAACTATACCTAGATTATTTTTTGCCCGAGTTATTCAGTTTACATTTGTACATGAGTCAAGCACATGATCAGTTCTTTATACGTGTATTCTTCTACTATTCTTTTTATTTCTATTTCAATTTCAATATCTAAAACATACACAATACATCGTCAACCTTGACCGCAATTTCTCCTCTTTCCTTATTTCTATAAATACTCATTCGATGTAAAGTCAATCCTACTACTATCGGAATTTTTAAAGAAGGCCGGTGGAAGAAAAGCTTATAACATTTGAATGGAAAGCCGTAGATGTCTGCGGTTTTCACCATTCAACAGACGACAGTCGGGGACACATGCTAGCATGGAAAAGTGATATTCCTAGGTATTTTTTCAAACCAGTTTTCGTCTACGAAATTAAGGGCAAATTATTGAATCTTTTCGATGGAATTTTTTTAGCTAGGTTTGCGCCCCGACATGCCCTTTTCACATTGGTATCTAACCAATTTCTAGATTTCGTCTCCTTGAAAGACTCGAAGTCTTATAAAAGACGAATTTCACTTGGGTAATTTCGCTTAAAAACAAAAAATTACTCCGAAGATAGATTTTCGATGATGCTAATCAACATGAAAGGGTTTATTTGGTTATTGAATTATAGTTACATGTAGAGGTCATGTGCACTAGTACATGAAAGTGCTTATTTTCGAGCTCCTTTGATAAGCAAAGTCTGTGTTTCTTACGGTCTACTTGATTCTATCGTCTTTCTTTTTTCATCAGTCTTTTAGAATAACAGAACTTGCATTACTTGCTCCAAAAATAAACTAAATTTTGAAAAAAAGTACAAATACAAAAATGCTGGTGGATTAGATCCTGAAGATTCACGATGTTTGGACGTTGACAATGAGATAGCGCGACTACGAAGTTCTTTAACATTTGCATCTATTTCACCTTGCCCTTCCGTTTCTTCTTGTTGTTGTTCATTTGTTTCTTCCTGTTGTTGTTCATTTATTTCTTTCTGTCTTAACTGTTGAAATTCCTGCTTTAATCTGCGGACAGATCTTCCAGAAACACCTAACATTTTGACAAGACAATCGTTCACATTGTAGAGAGGAATTACTGGACCATTCTTTTCCCTTTCAACAAAATTAATAATATGAAACATTAATTGTTTGACTTCCTGAGAAAACTCATAACCTTTTGGCATTATGAATAAAGAATTTATCTAAAACAGAATAATATATACTTCGAAAAGAAATAACGAAAACAATTTTCCCATATATATATATATATATGTTTTTTTCCTTTCCTCCTTTTCATCCTCGCATGACATACGGACATGTTCGTATCGGGAAAGAGATATCACATTTAGAATCGCACATCTTAAAGAGAATAAGGCCTTTCATGTCGATTAGCATCATCGAA